GTGCACTTCCTGTTGGTTTTCAGTTTAATTCTAAGATGAGGTCTGTCTGAGGCAGGTAAATATGTTAGCCACGCCCTATCAGCTGTCAGTTTTGACAACTAACAGAAATGGTGAGCAGGAGGAGTCTGTTCGGTTGTAATAACTCTCCCGAAATCCTTTTTCTGATCTTTCTGAATGAATCGCCTACTTTACTACATCCAATCAGCTTGCAGTAGGAAAAAAACAAGCCACGCCCACTGTTTCCTCATTTAATATTCTGTTTCTCTAAGAACTGCGTCACAATACATTAAAAAAATGGTCGCAGCTTTAAGTTCATGCAGACTTTAAGGTCTGTAAGCCCCTCCCCCTCTCCTCTGATTGGGCAGCTTGTTAACTCTGTTTTGATTAATATTTGCATATCTATTTCAAATCAGAAACATGTTCATATTATGCAAATATCATGTTACTTTGATGTAAATCGTTAGCAGGCAAAAGATTCGAAAAGCGTAACGACTCATTAAAACGATCCAGAGTCGACTCTTTCTTTTGACAGACATTATCTTTATTCTTCGACTTTTTCGGTTAACAATTTGCAGACAGTTTACAATGAAGCACCGCTATGCTATAAAATGCAAATAAGATTTTTTTTCTTCCGAAAACCAACATGATTTGCTCTTTTAATGCTTTTATTTTACAGCCTACTAAACACACCAAGCAGGCACACAATGTTATTAGACGTTAATATTAGGTTAGATTTAGGTCGAGATGTCAGGTGACCAAAATTCATTGTTTAGCCAGTGTGTAAGGACGTTATTTTGATGTCCAATAATGATGTCAAATGACGTTGATATTTGGGGTATTTTAGTTGAGTTGGAAAGTGACCAAAATCCAACGTCGAGCCAACATCATAAACCAAAGTCATATTGACGTCAAATACAGACATTTATTCATCAGGTATAGAAACCAAAATTAAAGTCTGATAGATGTCAAAGTCGTAACGTCCACACAACTCCAAGCTGTAACATCATTAGACGTTGATATTTGGTTGTTATTAGGTTGCGTCTGAAATTGGTCAATATCCAACGTCGAGCCAACATCTTAAACCAACGTCATATTGATGTTGTGGTGTAAATTCATTTTATTCATCATTTTAAATACTAATTTGTTCTAGTTATAAAGGTCTGTTCTTTTATTCATCCATAAACGTGCTGTTTAAGTTAGACCAACTGTGGCCACTTTAACATCTGTTTATCACCAGTCAAGATCTAGATAAGTATATGGTGATTTCACAAACTACATGTTCAGATGGGATGTAAGGCTGAAATGTAGATGGTCAAAACTGAAGTTTGAGCGTTGATGTAACTGTGATTCATCCTGTATGCCACTGATGACCTTGTGGTTATTACAAACTAGATAAAAAGAGAACGTGCTCTGTCTCTGCGTCTCACTCTCTGCAGATACGGTTGTTGATGTATGATCGTGTGACCTTCTTTGCAAAGAATAAAACCTTAAAAGACACTTTGGGTAAGAATTTTTCTTTTTGACCACTGAGAGAGCCTCCTTAAAGAAAACTGCCACTGCAACGTCAAATACTGACATTTATTCGTCAGGTATGGCAACCAAAATTCAACGTCTCATACATGTCATAATGGTAACATCCACACAACATCAAGCTGTAACATCATTAGACGTTGATATTTGGTTGTTTTTAGTTTGCGTTAGAAAGTGGCCAATATCCAACGTCGAGCCAACATCTTAAACCAGCGTCATATTGACGTCAAATACTGACATTTACTCATCAAGGTATGGCAACCAAAATTCAACATCTGATAGACGTCATAATGGTAACATCCACACAACTTAAAGCTGTAACATCATTAGACGTTGATATTTGGTTGTTTTTAGTTTGCGTTAGAAAGCGTTAGAAAGTGGCCAATATCCAATGTCGAGCCAACATCTTAAACCAACGTTATATTGACGTCAAATACTGACATTTACAGTATTCGTCAAGGTATGGCAACCAAAATCCAAAGTCTGATAGCCGGCATAATGATTACGCCCGCACAATGTCAAGCTGTAACATCATAAGACATTGATATTTGGTTGTTTTGAAGTTGAGTTGGAAAGTAACCAACATCCAACGTCGAGCCAAAATCTTAAACTAATTTCGTATTGACATCAAATACTGACATTTACTCATCAAGGTATGGCAACCAAAATCCAACATCTGATAGACGTCATAATGGTAACATCCCCACAACTTAAAGCTTTAACATTATTAGACGTTGATATTTGGTTGATATTAGTTTGCGTTGAAAATTGGCCAATATCCAACATCGAGCCAACATCTTAAACCAACGTCATATTGATGTAAAATATTGACATTTACAGTATTCATCAAGGTATGGCAACCAAAATCCAACGTCTGATAGCCGTCACAATGGCAACGTACACACAATGTCAAGCTGTAACATCATTAAACGTTGATATTTGGTTGTTTTTAACTTGTGTTGGAAAGTAAGCAACATCCATTGTCTGTCCGACATTGGACACTGACCTCGGTCTGCCGTTGGGTTCTAATGTCAACACAATTTTCATTTTCACCCAAAACGCAATGTGCCCTGAAGTTGGGGTACAATGTCAATCTGACGCCATGTTGACGTCCTGTGCCTGGTGGGACAGTTCTCATTTTACACTTATTTTGCAAAAAAAATAAATAAACAAATACTGTGTTCCACACAATTTTGTCCAAACACAAACCGATTAAGCTGACTTAATTATTTTTACAAATTTAAGTGGATGGAACATAAAATCATTAAGTCGTCCCCCCCAAAAAACTCTAGAATTGCATTGATAGTTCATTTTAAATAAGTCATTTGAACAAGCAGCAACAAGCACAATTTTCACAGTACAAAATGATGTAAACGGCAGAAATGACGTTGCTAATGAACATCAGATTATAGGGGAGCACAACAGGTGTAACGCAGAGCTCAAATCCCTCTCCTTTAGTCCTGATCTTCAGTCTGTTCACAGGATCAGCTAATCCAGCGCTAGCAATGCTGAGCCAAATCACACCGAGATTTCTGGGTCAACACACAACAGGTGACGCTAAATGAGCTTTTACTCAGGTCTGTCTTTCCAGATATATAACCATACAATGAGAAAGATTGATGAACGCTGTGGTAAATGTTTCAATCAGATATTAACAGTGGTTTGTGTCAAATCTGTAACCAAGTTATCAAAATTGGCCACCGGTTTCAAAAATATAGACTTTCTTACAATCTACTGCACAATGTTTTAAAGAAAATGATTGCTGCTGGTGTTTTTTTATACAGTTGAAGCCTGAATTATTAGCCCCCCGGATATTTTTGCCCCCAATTTCTGTTTAACAGTTTTTTTCAACACATTTCTAAGCATAATAGATTAAATAACTAATTTCTAATATTTGATTTCTTTTATCTTTGCATGATGACTTTTACTAGATATTTTTCAAGATACTAGTTTTCAGCTTAAAGTGCCTTTCAAAGGCTTAATTAATTAGGCAAGTCATTGTATAGCAGTGGTTTGATCTGAAGACAATCCAAAACAATTATTGTTTATGGGGGCTAATAATTTTGACCTTAAAAATGGTTAAAACAATTTTAAAAGCTGCTTTTATTCTAGCCAAACTAAAACAAATAAGACTTTCTCCAGAAGAAAAAATATTATAGAAACTACTGTGAAAATTTCCTTAATCTGTTAAACATCATTAGGGAAATATTTGAAAAAGAAAAGAAATCCACCGGAAAGAGAATAATTTTGGCTTCAACTGTATACATACATATATACATACATACATATATATATATATATATATATATATATATGAATGCTTGATATAAAATATAGCACCATCCTTTAAATCATCCACATTGTACTATATTGTCTCTCTTTAATATCAGAAGTGGCCCAACTTTAATTTACTTCGAAGAGTTAATTAAGACACAGTTATTTAAGCTTGCCTTTTTGATGTTTTTTTTCTACTGTTTTTCTATTTTGTACTATTTCTTAATATATATGATGTGTTTAATATCTTCTTTTGTAGTGCTTTGGGTTTAAATTTTTTTTTAATGCATTACAAATAAAATGCGTAATTAATATTATTTTACCACCATCCCTTCCTACATTGCTTCTCACCAAATATATCCTGTTTTTTGTATCATTAAAAATAGATTTAAAGTGATAGTTCACCACATAATTATCATTTATTCACCATTTGCTCACCTCACAAATTAAGTGCTTCTATCTCTTTTTTTAAACTCAAAAGAAGATATTTTGAAGAATGTTTTGAAGAACCTATGAGATTAACATTCGCAGTTAAAAAAAAAATACTATTTAAGTAAATGGCAAACTGTAAAAATAGACGAAAAATTTACAATTTTTGGAATTTTGTGATTTGTTTTTTAGTATTATTATTTATTTATTTAAGCTTTTTAATTGCATTGTGGGACCTTAATCTTTTCTCTAACAACGTTTGACGTTAAAAAGTCCAAAAAAGTGACTTTTATTTATATTTTTATAGTTTAAACAGTGATAAACTGTCTCGCTTGTTGTTGTAAATAACAAACATGAAACCTGGTAATAAACTACCAGTACATTTCCTGTCATTTTACACACTTATTTCTCCATATACTGGTGTTGCCAGGATACTGGAATTTGCTACCAGTCGGTTCTGAAATTTTTAAAACATCACGCTAACATTTGAGCGCACGTTCTGAAATAGCGCTGATTTGCCATTGGGTTCACATGCTCAACAGAAATGACTGTGATTGGCTGTGAAGGTCATCAGATCACCGAACTCACCAATGTTTACTGAGTGTAACCACAGATACAGGCACACTGGATCGATTTAAAGCCGCGTTGCATCAGTGGATAGCCTGTATGTCAGCTTACAGACAAACCAGCTGATCGACGTAGCTTTAAAACACTCCAGTGTCCCTGTATCTGTGGTTACACTCAGTAAACATCGGTGAGTTCGGTGAACTGATGACCTTCACAACCAATCACAGTCATTTCTGTTGAGCACATGAACACAATGGCAAATTTAAGAACGTGCTCAACAGAGCTCAAATGTTAAGGGAAGATGGACGTATTCCAGTATCTTGACAACACTACTACTGTAGTATACAATGCATTGTTTCAAACTGCTTAGAGTTTAGCAATAGTCACTTTATTAAACTGTAGAGTTTAATTTTTAACACCACAAGTTGACAGAGCAGAGATAAACACCCCATAATGCAACTCATAAACCTGTAAATCACAAAATAGGCAACCTGTTAATTATTTTTGTTTACAGTGTAGAACATTCTTCAAACTATCTTCTTTTGTGCTGAACAGAAGATACAAACTCATTTACAAGTGGAAAGTAAAATAAATAATGCATGATTATTTTTACATTTTTGGGTGTAAACTGTACCTTTAAGAACATTTGTTTACATTGTGAGCTTCTGATGTATCAAAAAAGGCAACTCAAACCCACCAGCGGATCCTCTGTCACTGAAAATCAAAGCTCTGGACGCAGCTCAGTTTCTTCCACCAGCTTTCAGAAAGCTGTCTGATTTTATCTGGGGTTTTTTCTCTCAGCGTCTGGATCCTCGGCCACATCGACTCCTCTGCATGCTTCATGCTAGCTAAGATGGCGGCGTCGAACACTTCCTTCAGGTTCTTCTGTGTCAGAGCTGAACATTCAGCGAATGTCACGGCACCGATGCTACGGGCACACAATCGGGCGTCTTCCTGGCTCACTGGTTTCTCCTGGCCCTCTGCGAGTCGGATAAGCACCTGAACGTCTTCAAGTAAATCACACTGAGTGCCCACGAGGATGATGGGAACACCAGGACAGATTCGATTAATTTCAGGAGCCCATCGGTCAGTCACACTTCTGAAGGAGGATGGGAGGACCACGCTGTAGCAGAGCAGGAACACATCAGCATCACGGTAACAGAGTGGGCGGAGTCGGTCAAAGTCATCCTGGAAACAGAAATTTAACATGTTGTAAACCAATCTTGATGCTTTAGTGTGAAGTGAACAGACAATTTATCGTATTATAAGGGATAGTTCACACAAACTTAAACATTTACTCTATTTATTCATGCACAAGTGGTTCAAAACTGTTATGAGTTTCCTTCTACTGTTGAACACAAAAGCAGATTTTTGAAAAATGTTGGAAACCGGTAACCATTGACTTAAAATAATAAATATGTAAATCAATCTTCATGTTTTAGTGTACATTAAAAGGACAATTTCTTGTATTAAAAGGGACAGTTCACCCAAAATTGACTATTTATTCATGCACAAGTGGTTCAAACTGTTATGAGTTTCCTTCTACTGTTGAACACAAAAGCAGATATTTTGAAAAATGTTAGAAACCGGTAACCATTGACTTAAAATAATAATATTATATTATGTAAACAAATCTTGATGTTTTTAGTGTACAGTGAACGGACACTTTGCTTTATTAAAAGGGACAGTTAACCCAAAATCGACTCTATTCATACATCCACAAGTTGTTCCAAATTGTTATGAGTCTTTTTCTACTGTTGAACACAAAAGAAGATATTTCGAAAAATGTTGGAAATCGCTAACCATTAATTTAAAATAGTAATATAATATGTACTGCACTTTTGATGTTTTGGTGTACATTAAATGAACAATTTGCTGTATTAAAACAGACAGTTCACCCAAAATTGACTATTTTTTCATCCACAAGTGGTTCAAAACTGTTAAGAGTTTCCTTCTACTGTTGAACACAAAAGCAGATATTTTAAAAAATGTTGGAAATCCGTAACCATTAACTTAAAATAATAATACTTACACCAGTTTTGATGTTTTAGTGTAGATTAAATGGACAATTTGTTGTATTAATAGGGATAGTTCACCCAAAATTGAAAATTGACTATTTATTTATTCACAAGTGGTTGCAAACTGTTATGAGTCTCTTTCTACTGTTAAACACAAAAAGGTATTTTGAAAAATGTTGAAACCATTGACTTAAAAAATATATTATAATAATAGTAATATTCATTCCTCCATACTTTCGGCTTAGTCCCTTTATTAATCTGGGGTCGCCACAGCGGAATGAACTGCCAACTTATCCAGCGCGTTTTTACGCAGCAAACAAGTGCTGGATAAGTTGGCGGTTCATTCGATTGTGGCGACCCCAGATTATTAAAGGGACAAAGCCGAAAAGAAAATGAATGAATGAATATAATACGTAAACCAATTTTGATGCTGTAGTAGTGTACATTAAATGGGCAATTTATTGTATTATAAGGGATAGTTCACCCAAAATTTAAAATGTACTCTATTTATTCATGCACAAGTGGTTCAAAACTGTTACGAGTTTCCTTCTTCTGTTGAACACAAAAGCAGACATTTTGAAAAATGTTGGAAATCGGTAACCATTGACTTCCATAATAATATTTTTTTCCCCGACTATAAAAGTCAACAGGGTTTTTAGCGTTCTTCAAAATATCTTCTGTG